TATGAGCCTGTTTATTCACTGAAACTTTGTCATTATTTAAGATAAAAACATAATACACATATTGTTTTTTTTTTTAAAGACAAACAAGGATTTCTTTTCGTGAATATTGTCTTGCAACAATGATTTTTTTTTCACAATCCTTAAACAATTAGATGTTACAAAACACACTTTATCTTTTTTCAGTGATCTTTTAAAAATAAATGGTTTTACTGCACATAAAAAGTGCACATTTTATGCTGTAATTTGTCCTGTTTAAAATTATGCTAAAATATGATTCTGGTATAAAGCATTGCAAAGTTATTTACAAATAAAGTGTTTTTTTTTCAGTTTTGCACTTTTTTTTTTAAATGTAAGATTGGTAAATTATGTTAAAGGTGTAAAAATATTAATGAACAAAACAAAGACTGAAAAAAAGTTTAAATATTATCAGTTAATAAAATAGAAACTAACAAAAAAAAAAATCAGTAGGAAAATAATTGAATGGAGAAGGAGAATAAGGAGTTAATTAGGGCTAATTAGCGTACACTAAGGATTAATAAGGGGTTAAATAGAGGAACATTTAATTAAAAAAAAAAAAAACGTTTTTTTTTACTTGACAGGTTACTTTAACTAATTTCATCTGAAGATCGAAGTTAATCCCTTTGATCTATAGGTGAATAAACAGATACAAAATGAAACATTGTTTCTTTTGAGCAATGTTGTTGATAAACATTGACAAACTGCTTTTGTTTGACAGCTCCAGCTGTCAGAACTTTTTCTGTGTTCTTGGCAATGTCCCTTTGATTAATCAGAGCTCAGTTGGGAGTACTGGGACAGGGGAGGTCCTGGGAGCAGGGCAGAGAGACTGCATGTGTTACACATGCCCTGTGTAAAATGATGACATTTTTTGGGTGTATCTAACATGTCCAGAGTCTATAACTGGTTAAGCTTCCACTACAACATTGGTTTTCCCTTTTAAGATAGGTTCACATCTATGCAGGGTGCATTTGATGCGTTTTTCCAGTGCATTTTGCATTTTTGCACACACTTTTTTAATCTTTTTTGGCTAATAGGAAAGTGTGACAGTTCTGTTCATGTAGTGTGGCTTTGATGTGACATTAATATGGCTTATGCCACTCTCTGGCACTCAAGTAGCATCAAAGTCACATTAAAATACTGCAGGAACCTTTATGTGTCCAAGGTCGTATTTTTATTTTTTTATTTTTTTTGCAAATAACAAAGTATGACAGTTCTGTTCATGTAGTGTGACATTGATGCAACTTTGATGAGACTTTACACTTTCTGAGTAGTGCAGGAACCTTTATCTGTCCAAAGTCACATGTTAGGGTTAGAATTAAGGGCTAGAGTTAAGGCTAATAGGGTTAAGGGCTAGGGTTAGTGTAAAGGGGAGCTCCAGGCTCTCCAAAAAATTTAAAAGTCAGCAGCTACAAATACTGTAGCTGCTGACTTTTAATATAACCACACTTACGTCATCATCCGGACCAGTTCTTCACTAGGCTCCAGGTTCCTGGCACTAGCATTGTATGGGAAGCATTGTATGGGAAGCCTTGCGGCTTTACAACTGGTTTCCTACTGCACATGCACAAACTGATCTGGAAATGGGAGCAGGTACCTGTCAAAACCAGGTACCCATTCCTCTCTACCCCCTAAAGAGACAAATGTGGCAGCGGAGAGAGGGAGGGTGCAAAGAAGCGGAGCTTCCCTTTTGGGTGGAGTTCTTCTTTAAGGGCTAGGGTTAAATGTTAAGGTTAATTGCTAGGGTTAAATGTTAGTGTTGGGGTTAAGGGCTAGGGTTAAATGTGAGGGTTAGGGTTAAATGTTAATGTTGATGTTAATAGCTATGGTTAGGGTCTAATGTTAAATGTTAGGGTTAAGTGTTAGGGTTAAGGGCTAGGTTTAGGGTTGAGGGCTAGGTTAAATGTTAGTGTTGGGGAGGGCTAGGGTTAAATGTTAGGATTGGGGTTAAGGGCTAGGGTTAGATGTTAGGGTTAAAGACTAGGGTTAGTGTTAAATTTTAGGGTTAAATGTTAACATTGGGTTTATTGCTATGATTAGGGGCTAGCATTAAATGTTAGGGTTAAAGACTAGGGTTAAGGGCTAGCATTCAGTTTTAGAGTTAGGGTTAAATGTGTTAAATGTTAAGGTTAAGGGCTAGGGTTATATTTTAGGGCTAGGGTTAAATATTAACATTGGGGTTAATGGCTATGGTTAGGGGCTAGCGTTAAATGTTAGTATTAGGGTTAAATGTTAACATTGGAGTTAATTGCTATGGTTAAGGGCTAGGTTTAGGGTTAAGGGCAAGGTTTAGGGTTAAGGGCTAGCATTAAATTTTAAGGTTAGGGCAGGGGGAGGACTGAGAACTCATGGGGCCCCTGTGTCCTTGACCACACTCAAAGCACACCCAAAAAAGCCTATAAAGGGTACCAGGGGCATTTCATGGGGCCCCCTACTGACCTTGAGCCCTCTGGCAGTGCCAGAGTGCTCTAATGGTCAGTCCGCCCCTGGGTTAGGGGTTAAAGGCTAGGGTTAGTGTTAACTGTAAGGGTTAAGGGCTAGGTTTAGGGTTAAGGGCTAGCATTACATTTTAGGGTTAGGGTTCAAGGCTAGGGTTAGTGTTAAATGTAAGGGTTAGGGTTAAATGTTAACAATGGGGTTAATGGCTATGGTTAGGGGCTAGTGTTAAATGTTAGGATTAGGGTTAAGGACTAGGGTTAAATTTTAGGGTTAGAGTTAAAGGCTAGGGTTAGTGTTAAATGTTAGGGTTAAGGGCTAGGTTTAAAAGGGTTAGGTTTAAATGTTAACATTGGGGTTAATGGCTATGGTTAGGGGCTAGCATTAAATGTTAGGATTAGGGTTATGGACTAGGGTTAAATTTTAGGGTTAGGTTAAAAGCTAGGGTTAGTGTTAAATGTTAGGGTTAAGGGCTAGGTTTAAATGTTAACATTGGGGTTAATGGCTATGGTTAGGGGCTAGCATTAAATGTTAGGGTTAAGGTCTAGTGTTAAATTTTAGGGTTAGCAGTAAACATTCGAGTTAGCAGTAATCATTACGGTTATCAGTTAGCTCATTGTTAGGGTTAACTTTCTAACAATTAGGACTAACCCTCACCCTAATCCTAACATTTAACCCCAACCCTTGCCCTTAACACTAACACTAACCCTTAACATGTGGCTTTGGACACACAAAGGTCCCTGTCCTACTTTGATGCGACACTGATGCTTCTTTGATGCTACTTGAGTGTCAGAGAGTGTAAAGTCGCATCACATGAACAGAACAGTCATGCTGTCCTATTAGCAAAAAAAAACAAAACGGCAAAACCCATCAACAAGGCAACACTTGCCCTTTTTGGTGCAGGTCCACTGAAGTCTATTACACACAAAACGCAATCTGCTGCAAGAAAAAGTCCCTGACCCTTTCTAAAAAATGCACCGCCTCAAAACGCTCAGATGTGAACTAGATCTATAAGAAACCATGTTAAATGGACTGAAGGGCATTTGTGGAAAACACACTAAAAAAACGCTTGGGTGTGAACCAAGACTTGGTTGCCAATCTGTGAACCCAGCTCGTGTTCGGGTGCGCATTACAAGTCACGTTTTTCAGTCACGTATACTCAGCATAAGGGGACTGAGGTGCTTTTAAGTCCATGCTTTTAATTAGTCACCAAAAAGCATGTGTTCTGCACATGAGCCGCCTCTTTGTTCACTTCACGAGTACATAAAATGTAGACATTGAGGCGATAGGTTCTAAAACACATTCCTTCTCCTCAATAAGAATGGTCTCCAGTCCTGTGTCCTCATGTGACCCGCCCACCATCCCCCCGTATAGGAGCCGTGTGTGCACTATAAGAGCCCTCAGTCTATAGAATGCTACGCTTTATAATGGCGCCGATCTGCTGGATAGTGAGCGCCCCCAGCGGCAGACCTAGGGAATGACACGCCAGGTTGTGCCAAGCCCAGAGGGAGGATCCGGCATCCTAGCAGTGCAATTATAAAACTCTTCCCGCCGAATACATTAAACCATAAACGTTCGGTGCCGTTCACCGGCTTCTAAATGCCTACAAACGTGTCACCAGGCGGGTTTTCCCTGCAGACCGGCTACATACAACCGCATTATGTCTGCAGCAGTTATCTCCATTGTGAATCAGTCGTGTCAGCCCGCTACCGTCCTGGCTTTGAAGCTAATTACAATGATTAAAAATGGCTGCTGCTGCTACTGCAGTTCATATTCCTGTCAGCGCTGGAACAGCGTGGTGATTTTGGTGCAACTGGCTGAGCCCGCCCCTCCCTCCTCAGACGCAGTACTGTCTCTGCTTCTCCTGACCTTTCCCAGCGATGCCTGGAACACGGGGAGAAAAAAAAAAAGCGCGCTCTGTAAATCCCGCCCACCTCCTACATATGCAAACACGCCAGGTGCCTATTGGCGGCGGTCGAACACTGAAATCTAAATAAAGAATGCCATTGGTCCAAACTTCGCAACATAAAATATGTAAATAAAAGCTAATGCTAGTTTGAGCATGGCTATATTTTCAGACATGTATCCTGCCGCGTTGTCTAGATACTACTAGTAAAGTAGTGCGCAGTGGAAACAAACAGTCTCAACGGCGGATACACGGATTTTGACGGGATTTTGGGCTTGTGGAGAAGGGACCGCTACGTGACGACCTTTTTTGCTTCATCATTTTCTTAAAAAAGGAGAAAGATAGTTTGCGGCAAAGGTGTCACCCAGCCTTGCGGCGGAGGGATATCACCGGGTCCTGCACACCGGCACCAAAATACTAGGAGTTAAGAGGCAGCTCTGTCAGTAATTGAGCTCAGAACTGGGGAGGGTGGCGGTGCTGTGTGTTGTGAGTGACCGCTCCCTGGGATTATCATAGACACCGGATTACAGCGCCTTCCCCGCCGGCTTGTTCCCGTGTCATGGAGTTGTGACTACAGGCGGGCGGACATTAGCAGGCACCGGCCGGCACTCTGCTTCTTTTCTCTGGTGGATTCCCCACAAACATGCTGCTCTCCAAATTCGGCTCCCTGGCACACATGTGTAGTCCGACCAGCATGGATCACCTACCGGTGAAGATCCTCCAGACAGGTACGGCACGGGGCACTTACCGGCCTCCGACACCGACCTCCCCGACACCTTCACTCATTTCTCCTCTCGTTACAGTCAAGCCGGACAAGGAGCCCTTCGACAAGGTCTACCAGGTGGGGGCCGTGCTGGGCAGCGGGGGCTTCGGCACCGTCTACTCCGGGAGCAGGATCGCTGATGGACTACCGGTGAGGGACATGGAGGGGCTCTGGGGGGAGGGGGGCATGGAGGATTGTGATCTAGCCCTGTATAGAAGTGATGAGTGTATTTTGGGCGGGGGGAGGGAGATCTAGCCCTGTATAGAGGTGGGATGGGTGAGGGGTGGTTAGCCCTGCAGTGGGGGGCATGGAGGGATTGGGGGGGTCTAGCCCTGAATAGAGGTGACATGGGTGGGGGTCTAGCTGTGAGATGGGTGATATGGAGGGATGGCTGGTCTAGCATGGTGGGGGGGTCTAGCCCTGAAATGGGTGAAAAGGGGGATGGGGGTCTAGACTGGGATGGGTGCCATGGAGGGATGAGATCTAGCAGTGCAATGGGTGGTGTGGGGGGGTTTAGTTCTGGGATGGGTGACCTGGGGTGAACAGGGGATCTAGCCCTGCATTGGATGACATGGAGAGGTGGGGATCTAGCCCTAGAATGGGTGATGTGGTGGGATCTAGCCATGCAATGGCTGACATGAAGGGATTGGTGGGGAAGACCTCTAGCCTGGGATGCATGATTTGAAGGGGTGCGTGGTCTTGCCCTTCAATGGGTGATATGAGGTCTAACTCTGGATGGGTGGTCTAGCCTGGGATGGTGGGATCTAGCCATGCAATGGGTGACATTGAGGGACCTAGTCTTGTGTCTATAGAATGATGGGCTCTTGTCTGTATGGTGTGATGGGGTCTAGCCCTGGAAGGCAGGGTGATATGGAAGGTGTGGGCTTGTCCTGTGTATGGAATGAGGTCTAGCCCTTAGGAAGGGTGACATGGAAGGCTTGTGTGTTGTCAGTGTGGGAAGGGAAGGGCTGATTGGTCATGGCACAGTGTATTCCTGATGTTATCTAGCACATGAATGTGTACAGCACCACCCGGTATGACATTGCTGACAGCTCTTGTATTTTTCTCCTAGGTTGCAGTGAAACATGTCTCCAAGGACAGGGTGACAGATTGGGGAACATTGGTGAGTATTGATTGTGGTTTTTTGAGTAGTGGAAGTGATGAATTGTAAATCACGTTTTGATCTAGTGTTTACTTTCATGTAAGTGGGAGGGAGAGTGATTTGGCGGGTTTTCCTCCCTCCTTGGTAATTGAGGATTAGATGGGAATCACCCTTAGTCTCCCTAAATGTCCTTTCTGACCTAAGATGGCAGTATAGGATGTACTAGATGTGGTGGGGGTTGGGTATCCTGAGGAGGGACTGAACAATGCTGCATATTTCTCCCCAGAATGGAGTCATGGTGCCCTTGGAGATCGTTCTGCTGAAAAAAGTTGGATCTGGCTTCCGAGGTGTCATTAAGCTGCTAGATTGGTACGAGAGAGCGGATGGATTCCTCATTGTCATGGAGAGGCCAGAGCCGGTGAAGGACTTGTTTGATTTCATCACTGAGAAGGGGGCTCTGGATGAGGATACGGCTCGAGGCTTCTTCCGCCAGGTTCTGGAGGCAGTACGACACTGCTATAGTTGTGGAGTGGTTCACAGAGACCTCAAAGATGAGAACCTGCTTGTGGATCTGAGGACTGGCGAGCTCAAGCTCATAGACTTTGGTTCTGGTGCACTGCTCAAGGACACAGTCTACACTGATTTTGACGGTATGTTGTACTAAGCCCAACTCCTGAAAAATGGCATCTTTCTGCTGGTGTAATGTACACCTGGCCTGCTAGGATGTGGATGGCTGCTGTATCTGCAGCATTGAATTCCCTCTGATTTCCCTGCAGCCCCTCCCCTGTCTGATCCACGCACAGTGCGGGCGATTCCTGTGTGACGCACCATACTTTCCATGCTGAGATGTGTGGGTGGGGGGGGGACTGCGTTCTTTTCCCCTTCTAATGGTTGATGTATATTCCATGCCTTTTTTGGACTTTAGTGTCTTTTTTGTTTTAGTATGGAAGTGGACATGCTTTGATGGCTGCGTAGTAGTGGCTGCAGGGCACCTTCAATGTATGTGACAGTGTCTGCAAACTGGCACAGCTGTCTGCCTGACTAGTGGCTGAGACAGGAATGTGTGGGGTGTGTTTTTTTTGTTTTGTTTTTTGTTGTGTGTGGGTTTTTTTTTTTTTTTTTTCCCCCTCAATTAGGGTACTATTAATTTGTAATGCCCAAGACTGACTTTAGCTTCCAAGCTACCAAATAGTTGGTCCCTCATCTTTCACTTCGATTTGCACCTTTTTTGTAGATTTGAATTGCAGGTCTGTACTCTTGGCTTTAGCATTGTATTCTTTCAATGAGCTGTGGGACCGGGGCTGATATGTAACTCTTGGCACAAATTGAGTGTTGGGTGTGCATATGTGGGTTTCTTTCCCTCCCCCTCTCCTTCCTTGCTGTGGGCGTACATCGCCAAGATGACTGTAGCTGTCTCCTCATTTCACATCTGTTTGTTGTGAAACCCGAAGCTATAGCTCACGTGACCGGGCGCTTTGCAGATTCCAGGTTTTGTTTGGTATCCAAGGAACAGTAGAGAACCAAGGGAGATGTGATGTGCCTTTGCACACAAGATGGGGGAGGGGATAGGAATAATACTGTTGCCTTTACTGTCTTACAGTTTTTTGTATGGTTTTTTTTTTTTTTTTTTTTTTTTTTTTTTTCCAAAGCAGTGATAGGATTGCTTCCCCCACCATGCACACCCTCCTCCTTTTGTGTCTATTTTTGGAGTTGTGCTACAGACGCCACGTGGTCCTTGAAAGGGAGCCTAGTAAACAGCTGATGCATACAGTGCTGTTCATTGCAATAGAATGGGGGAGGGTCAGTTAATTGTGGTGTCTTTTTTTACCATTCTAGCATGTATTTGCTTACCTTGTGTGACCTTTTTTTATTTCTAAAACTAAGCCTGTTTTCATTTCCAGGGACAAGAGTCTACAGTCCTCCAGAATGGGTCAGATACCACAGATATCATGGAAGATCAGCAACAGTGTGGTCATTGGGTGTTCTTCTTTATGACATGGTTTGTGGGGATATCCCTTTTGAGCAAGATGAGGAAATTTTACGCGTCCGCTTATACTTCAGAAGAAGAATTTCCCCAGGTGTGTAGAACATTTTCTAAATGCGTACAGAACTATAATATGGCTATTTATATGAAGTACTGTACAGCTGCAATTAATTTTTAATTGGTGTTTGTTTTTTTTTGTTTTCTCCCTCCCCAGAGTGCCAACAACTTATCAAATGGTGCCTTTCACTGAGGCCTTCTGACCGACCATCACTTGAACAGATTTTTGATCATCCGTGGATGTGCAAGAGTGATCTAGTGAAATCTGAGGACTGTGATTTAAGACTAAGGACAATTGACACAGATGCATCTAGCACAAGTTCAAGCAATGAGAGTCTGTGAAAGATTATAAACTCTGAATGGGAGGGGAGCGTGAAGCAGAAAGTCGTGCTGCTGCCAATAACTACCGAGGAGGGGCGTACATTCACTACTCTATAGTCAAATCTTTATACAGGAATTTTTTCTTTTCTGTCAGCGTTTTGCAGTTATCTCCCTGGATTGACTTAATGTGGACAAGATGATCTGAGAGTTGTAGGCCAATGCTTACACAAATGGACTGACCTTATTTACATAAGAGAAAGCAGTGACCTCTTGAGTACATAGTATACTGTTTGCTCTCATAGAGCCTGGACTAGATTTTTATTTGCTTTTGAGTGCCTTTTTTGAAAGCTGCTTAAGTGGGACTTTTCTGTTTTGTGTGTGTGTGGGTTTTTTTTTATATTTTTGTTTTTCTTCCATTTGGGGCTGTGTATGTCCAAAGAAAATCCATTACCATGGGCCTTGCCTGTCTTATTGGAACAGCTCTGCCTGTATCAGTCGCATTTAGCAGACTTGAGCAATCCATCCTTTTTTTTGCGGTGATAAGGCATGATTGCTAGTTTTTAAAAACCATTCCTTTCAGAAAGTACTTCTTGCAGCCTGTACTGTAATTTTGAGCAGGAATGCAGTGGTTTCTTTTCTACCATCTCCTATATCATTTATTCCACTTTCATCTCTACCACTGGGCAACACAGGACCATTCTCCAAAACCATGTCATCCTGCAAGTCTTAAGTGTGTATGGGCATGTTAAATGCACAATCAATGCAATATTAAGGACTTTTACTTTATTCCATATCTGTATTTAAACTTGTTTTTCTTGTAATATACAGTATTATTTATTGCGATATTTAGACTATTTCTCACTATTTATTTTGGTTAATTTATTTGTCTAGATTTTATTCAACACTGTGCTTCACACTGTTCTGAAGGCCCCTGTTACTTTTCCCAATGGAATCTACTCAAGGGAGCTAGCTCTGCATTCCAGTCTTTTTTTTTTTTTTTTTTTTTTTTTCCCCCCCCCCCCCCCCCCCCCTCCACTATACTCTCCTTCCTTTCCATGGCTCTAGCAAGTTTGTTTTTAGATGGGTAATTCTTGTAAAAAGTCTAATTTAAGGAACACAGAATTGACTGACTTACAAAGTTGGTTATTATGCCTTTTTTGTGTCTGGTTTGGTTTACCAGAAATGTAAAATGCTTTTTGACAACTTTTAAGTTATTGGCATTATACAGTCTCCATGCAGTGACTCTGGGAGGGCAAGTGGCAGAGTCATAACCTTAATTTATTTTATTAGCTGTGTTTTTTGTGATCTGGCTGCATTTTATGCAGCTTGTTTATTTTTATTGTATTTTTTTTCTTTAACCGTGTGAAATGTATGGAGATCATATTTTTTTATACAAGTATTTCAATTAAACATTTTGTATATAATTTGTGTCATTACTGTTCTAAGGTCTTAGCTGTTTGAATGTCTAGTCTATAAAAATATGCATCTCAAATTCAAAATACTATGGAGTAGATTTACTAAAACCTGTCCTCAATCAGCTACAGCTGTGCATGGTAATAAATTGGCTTTTAACTTCAGCTTGTTCAGTTAAGCTTTGACAACCTGGAAGCTGACTGGTTTCTATGCAGAGCTGCACCAGATTTTGCACTCTCCAGTTTTAGTAAATCTTCCCTATTTTATATAGCCATCTAGTGGTCTAAAGTATCAAATATTTACTTCAAATTTCATTAAGCAGCTGCAGTGGGGCTTCTGCACGTTATGGGGTTGTTTTTGAAGTCCACCTACTTTACACTGGAATAATTCTTATCAGAACCTATAGAAAAAGCTAAAATTCAGGCAAATCTTATTTGAATACAAAGCTTTTTCTGGTTGTGTCTGAGATTGTGGTATCATCTACTCACCTCTCTTAGCCAATCAGAAGTGAATGGCTGGTTGAGCAGCGCTCAGCCCTACTTAGTTCAGGAGTGGGCAGGAAGTTCATCCCACTGCCGGAAGAGTGTTGTATATGTAGCTGAGACTACATACAGTTTATATGGCAGCTCTGAGCTGCTTCGACTGTTGGGTAATTCATTTGGACCGACTTGGTCCAAACTATTTAAATGTCATAACCCCCACACAAAGTATGGCTTTCTTCATACTTGCTATATTTGTGCTGCCTGAGTTCTTATTCACATGCAGCCATTTTAAAAATGTCAATGCTGTACGTATGGCGCTACATGCATCTGTTGTGGGAGGAAAACCTCCTATATGTTGGAGGAACTTGGTAATTTTCTTCCCCAGCAAATGTATGCAACTTATACACTGCAATCACAAAAGGAAGAGCGTGGCATCCTGCGCTTCTTGTATATGTGCAGTATGAAAGTATTGATCTTGCAGTTTAGACACAGGACTTCCCTGAAGGCAACAATAACATTGCCTTCATAGAGGGTGTCTGTGTGGCCAGGATGTGTAAAACAAAAGTAAAGAATTCACTGATTTTAAGTTTGTCCTCAAGTCCGCCTTTGCAAAAAATGCACCCATATGTACAGCAAAAAGTGCACTTGGGAAAATGAGCCTGCAAGTCACAGAATTTCTGCAGACTCCTTCAGACCTCTCTGTACAGAGGTACAGCCTTTAGGTTACTGAGCTGGCAGAATTGTTAATGGACTGAGTGCAGTAAATATTGCATTTGTGAACTAAAAGTCCTCCTGTCTTAATGGCAGTTGGGACCTGTAATTTCATTCACAGATCTCCTGAATGACAAATGCTGTTGGGGTGGTGGTATTGGCTTGCAACATGTTACCCTAAATATGGATGTAACATGGTCTATAAGTTGCAGTAGGCCTTTAACACAACCAATCTTTAAATATCAAAGTATATGGCTTTTTTTTTTTTTTTTTTACTACTTCACTAGTGTATATGGCGGTGCAGTAGCTGTTTAATGGCACAGTAAAAATTGCCCTTGAACAGCCAGTGTATCCGCTAATGGCCATGGCCTAACCTGTTGTCTCAGATCATAGGCACAAAGCAGATCTAAACATTTTTGTTATTGCTTGATCACAAATGTAGACAGTGCTATGTTTTACATCAAAAAACACGCCCCTTCCTCTCACAACCAGAGGAAGGAGGAGCAAATCATTTTAAAATTCAACCAATTTGATTCTTTCCTGTGAGAAATATGGAGGAGGCTGCTGTTGCTGACTTTCTGAATTTTGTTTCCTGGATGTTTTGCATCAATACTTTTCACTGTCCTGGAACAAATGGATCAGGGAAGTCTATAACTCCTTATTTATATATCAGCCAGGCAATGTACATTTGCAGAATGAGAAGCCTGTTTCTGAGGAAAGGATTTCTTTAACCCACGTGCCAAATATGGCCTATAGTAAAGGAGGAAAGTACTCCTCTGCTAGATCCTGAGCTTCTCTGTGTAGTTGCACAGAGGTTAGTCTGTGACCCCACACCCCTGTCTCAGCAGTGGAGAGGACAGAACTCCTCCAACAGATCCTGCACCTCCGTGCAGCTGCAGCACTGCCTTGTTTTTCACCCCCCCCCCCCCGCCACCCCCCCCCCCCCCCCCCCCCCCTCAACATTCAGACTCTGGTAGCTGATTCCAGACCTCTGGTTCTACTCCAGACCCTGCACTTTCTGCTTCCCAGCAGCACAAGGTAAAGGGGGTGCACTTGGAGGGGAGACTCTTTATTTTGATAGCAGGAGATGTGGGATGCTCTGGACACCTAGTCTTACTGATGCAACTGGCCCTTTGAGGACAACCATAATGCTGATGTGGCATGCAAAGAAATTGCGTTTGACACCCCTGCTTTAAACCATAATACCTGAATGTGAAAGTATGGGGCAAGCATTTTAAACACTGGGGTTCGGCATTATTATTATTTATACAGTATTTATAAAGCGCCAATAGTTCGCTCAGCGCTGTACATTACAAAGGGAGACAGAACATGTGACAGAATAATACCAATACAATGCGATACATGAGGGGATCGAGGGCCCTGCTCTTTCGAGCTTACAATCTATAAAATAAAGTTATAGTAAAGTTAAAACATTTTTTGGGTTGTTTTAAATTATATATAGACTAAAATATTCTCACATTTATTTAGTGGAGTAAAATCTACCCCTTTACACATAGCATGTCTATATAGGCTCGTTCATGTTTATGCTCAATCATTGCACTCTGTACTCCATAACAGACAAAGCAGTGATTGAAGATGCTACTGTACCATATTTCACCAGAAGGTGGCTCTACATATGAAATCACAATCACATTACAGGAGAAACCTCTTGTGCTTTTTTTTTGTCTTTTTAACCTTCAATATAGATACAAGACACCAGTTTAATTTAAAATAAAAAATGCTGACGGTCAAATTTAAAGCGAACCTGTGGCCAGACTGCACATTAAAGAATTTACATATTCTAAAACAAGCAATAAAAGCATTTATATGATATCTGAAGGCACAAAACAAGTATAATGTAATAGTATTTTTGTACTCAATGTATAATCCTTTTTTTTGGAGTCCATTGAAGGACACAGGAAGCCATATACTGCTGGTTTCTCCTGCCACCTACAGGGGAATTGGACACTGGCAAACATATACAGAATCTGTTGGGCACCCCAGGAAAACTCCTCCTATATCCAGCATAGGTCAGCAGTACTAGGAGCATGATCATAAACATGGAAGGGTGGGACCTGTATCCCTTAATAAATAGCAAGAAAGGAAGTGTATGGTGAATACAAAAATCCTCATTTGTCCATAAAGGGATCCACAAAGTCAAATACTGTCACAGTCACCTAAGCCCACCCAAAAGGAGTAGAACAAATAACAAATTCCAACAATAGAAACAAAAAACTGCAATATGAGATGATCAAAAAGGATAGGGACCAAACCACCTTGTAGGAATGGGTCCCAGACAAGGAACCCAGAAAAATGTCACTGAAAAGAGAAGACCAGCTAGTCTAGGTAGGACGGCCCTAAGTTTTTGCTAGTATCTGACTCCATAAAAGTCAAGGAACAAGGAACTCTCTCTAG